TGAAACTCTTTTAGTTTTTGTGAGTTCCTGTTTAGTGCCTCTGCAAAAGACATTTTCTACCTAACCTTTTTTTCAATTGTCTTCTTTGGGTTGGGGTATTATTGAGGCATTAGTTAATGGTTTGTCCTTCCCTCTACTCCTCCCATTCCTCCCCATCTCCCCTACCACCTTCCTGTCTCTCTCATTCAAAAAGAACAGACTTCAAAGAGATGAAAATGAAACATAACAAAATAAAATATAAGATTAAACAAAATCTACCACATGGAAATTGGACAAGGGAATCAGCAGGAGGAAAGGAGCCGAAGAGAAGGTACAAGAGTCAAAGACCCACTCATTCACTTTGCTTAGTTGATTTCTCAGTAGTTCTCAACCTGTGGGTCATAACCCCTTCTGGAATTCACATCGGTTGCCTGAGACATTTGGAAAACACAGATATTTATATTACAGTTGATAATAGTACCAAAATTACAGTTATGAAGTAGCAACAAAAATAATGTTATGATTTAGTGTATTAAAGAGTTCCAGCATTAAGAAGGTTGAGAATCACTAAATTTTACAGGGTCTTGTATTCCTGGTGTCCTTCATACCCTCTGGCTCTTTCGCTCTTCCAACTTCACGTTCCACAGGGTTTCTCTGAGCTCTGAGGGGAAGGAATTTTTGGAGACATCCCATTGAGAGCTATGTGTTCCAAGGTCTCAAATTTTGTGAAATGTCATTAGTTAACTCTTATGTCATCTTTATGATGATGTAAAGTAGAATGAACATCATACTGAAAACTTTGTTTTAGTATATTGTGAGAGAATTCTTATCTAACTTGAGTGATACTGTAGCTGAATATATGTGGGCTATTGAGAAATAGTTCAAAATACCTCTGTTCCTCCCATGCACCTTGGGCATAATAGATTTCCCTGAGAGTTGTCTTTTAATTTTGTTACTAAAGTCTAAAAGTCCTGACCATCAATATTTCAGCCATCAGAGAGTAAAGAGATTGAGACCCCAAATTCTGCCCTGTCAGTGAATAAACCAACTTTTTTTTGCCCCATTTGTGCTTAAATTTTATCTTTTAGTTATGTCTGGTATGTTCCACATTGGAATCTGTGTTTTTCTCTTTTAAAAATATTTGAAAATAAACACATACAATTTTTATGTGCTAGATTAAAAAATAAGAAAAGGTATAATTGTCCAATTCTGTTGAAAGACTCCCTGTTTTTTGTTTTCTTTTGTAATATTATTAAATTGACTCTGTGTAGCTATTTCCTGTTTCTTTGTGGTTTTTCTGACATTACTGAGTGACCCCAGACTTTCTCTCAGCCCATTTTGCACTGTGCTCTGCATGTTCTGCATCTGTGTATTGGTGTATCACTTGTTGACATGGCCATTGGCTTCCAACTTCTTATTGCCTTTTCTCCTCATTGTTTTTGACATTTTATATTTAAAACTTTCTCACTATTGGAATTTTATTGTTGCATACACAACAAAATTTGATGCACATAATTATCATTTACTCTTGTCTGGAAGAAGAACTCTTTCTTTAGCAATCATTACTCAGGAATCTAGTTTTGAAGTAAATTAAATGTGTGACTACTGTGTTCATGTTAATTGTGTACAGAATAGGATTAGTTCTTAAAATTATAAACAATATTTCTCTGTTCCTGTTTTCTTCTTATCAAATGTTTTATAACTCTATGTGTAAGAAAAATACATTTACAGTTCAAATGAGTTTTACTTTCATGGAAATACTGCACCCAAATGGAATGTAAGAACATTTCTGATTAACAATTATTTCTATTTTAGCATTTGTTAAATTGTGCTAAATTTGGAATCTACTTGATATATATCTCGAGGGCATATCTCTAATTCAAATCATTACAATTTTGATCTAATAAAACTTAAAAAACATTATAAAATGTAGATTAGAAAACTTTCTTAGGGGCTGGTGAGATGGCTCAGTGGTTAAGAGCACTGGCTGTTCTTGCAGAGGTCGTGAATTCAATTCCCAGTAACCACATGGTGGCTCACAACCATCCGTAATGAGATCTGGTGCCCTCTTTTGGCCTGCAATCATGCATGTAGGCAGAACACTGTATACACAATAAATAAATAAATCTTAAAAAAAATTTCTTTGAGAACCACCTCAGACTGCAAGGTTTTAAGAATCCTAGTTAATGTACTTCCTCACACTGTCATCCATTCACATTTATTATGAGCTCAACTTAAAAGCAACATTAAACAATAAATCTCTGGCTCTTCCTAAAAATAGTCACTACTTCCTAAATTAGTGGAGATTCCCACATTATACTATAGTACTGACAGTGGCCAATATTGAGATGTAAGATTAATTTCTATCACTTAATATCTAACTAAATATATTTATTTTTGGTTTTCAAGACATGGTTTCTCTGTGTAACAACTCTGGCTGTCCTGGAACTTGCTTTGTAGACTGGCTGGACTAAAACTCATATAGATTCACATGTCTCTACCTTCTAAATGCTGAGATTAAAGGCGTGTGCCACCACTGCTCAGCACTAATTAAATATTATTAACTTATTGAAAAAATTATATCTTTTCATTTTAGACAAAATGATAAGTAAAATATTAAATAAAAGATACATTTTGCTCATCATTTTTCTATACATTTTAAACTATTTTTATAATTCACCATGTGTTTTGGTATCTTTTAAAATATATATACAGTTTAAGATAAACATTCTGGCTCCAGACAGGGCATGTATAGGTGTGTGTACATGCGTGTTTGTGTGTCATGTGTGTATATATGTATGTGTGCATATATACATATATATATGTATAATTGCTAGAAGAAATATATGGGTGTGTCATGTGTATATACATGTATGAGCATGTGTGTTTGTATATATGTATGTATGTATGTATATCTGCTAGAAAGAAGTACTGAAGGAAAGAATATGGTTTTTTCCCATAAGGGTATTTCTCACACATTATATATTCAACCATTCCGAAATTAGTTACGTAGCACCTTCTTATAAGGAAAGCTGGGGAATGTAGACATTAATTCAAGCAGAAGTATTCTGGATAAAATCACAGGCGTTGCCACTGAAGATAATTCAGAAATAGAGGAAAGTGTTTGTGATCTTGGTTGTCCTGGTATTTCTGGGATCTCACTCCTGCTTGCATACTCTGCCTTGTTTTGCTAGCCACTTTCTTTGCTTTATTATTGTAGCTTTGATGATGACCCTTCTTCAGTTAATCAGTTCTTTCTAATCTTAATGGTTTGCTTCACATTTACTATAGCTCTTTTTCTAACACAGTAGTTTTCAGTCTTCCTAATGCTTAGGCTGTTTAATACAGTTCCTTATGCTGTGGTGACCCCAACCACAGAATTATTTTCATAGCTGTAATTTTGATACTGATATGAATATTACTGTAAATATTTTTGGAGAAAGTGGTTTGTCAAAGGGGTCATAACCCACAGGTTGAGAACACCTGCAGAAACCTAGATTTTCTTATATGGCACTCTTGAAATTTAGAAAAAAAAGAAAACACTTGATAGGTTCTCTGGGTATCTTTTATTTAGTTATTTATAATGTTTATTTTATGTAAGCAATTCTACTTCCAAGAAATTCTTTTCTATTCTTTGACAACATAGTAACCATGATGAAAGTTGACATTTGTCAAAACTATGAAAACTTATATACTTATTGGTTTATATTGAAAATCCAAACATGGAGAGAGGAGTTCCCAAGGCCCCACACTGAGTTCAAGAGTTATTGGCAGTTAATGGTTCCTGAGGGAGAGTCACATTTTGATTTAGTGATGTAGCCACTGGCAAGTTGCTAATGCAGAAATGGATGACACCATATACAAAAGTGGAGCCCACAAGTAGTTGGAGAGGGGGAATGAGAGGATAGGTGAGCTCAAATTATATTGTATGCATCTGTAAATTTCTCAAAGAATTAAAAGTAATAAATCAGTTAACATACATTAAAATCAGAACTATGGTACTAATGATGCTTGAAATGAGTCTTGATGTCATGGTATCAGAGGAGATGGACCTTAATAAAATATGCTGATAACTGTATAAACAAAAACTGAAAAGTGCTTTTACAAGAAGAGCTCCCTTTAGTCAGACTCTGTTGTCTGATGATATGTCCTTCACTATCTAACTAAACTGGTCAATTTGATAATTAAAAACATAAAAATTATGTATTTATAAGGATAAATAAGGTATTGACATAATGCCATTCCTAACAAGAATACCTAGTTTCTGCTACCTTTATTGCTGATTATATGCTCTTTGGTATAATGGTATATGGTATATTATTAGTTACTAATATTATGTTACCCATTTCCACAATTTATTATGTGCAAAGTAGGAATTCCTGATTTACTTGTTTTCTATGCATCAAGTACACACCAGGGATGGATCCTGATTCCACTGCCAGGGGGCACCTCAAGCAGACCAAGCTACACAACTATCTCCCTATGTAGAAGGCCCAGTCCAGTTCCATAGAGGATCCACTGCTGTTGATCCAAAGTTCATGAGTTCCTGCTAGCTTGGTTTGATTGTCTCTGTAGGTTTCCCCATCATGATCTTGATACCCCTTGCTGATAGAATCCCTCTTCCCTCTTTTCAACTGGACTCCTGGAGCTTGGCCTGGTTCTTGGCTGTAAATCTCTGCATCTGCTTTCATCAGTTACAGGATGAAGGCTCTATGATGACAGTTGGGGTATTCACCAATCAGATTACTGGGGTAAGCCAGCTCAGGTACCCTCTCCACTATTGCTAGTAGTCTAAGCTGGGGTCATCCTTGTGTATCCCTGTGAACTTCCCTAGCACCAGTTTTCTCCCTATCCCCATGATGTCTACCTCTAATTAAGTTATCTCTTTCATTGCTCTTCCCTTCTGTCCTGTTCCAGCTCAACTACTGTAGATGTAACCAATCGTATTATTAAAATAAGAAGCATAGAGTCAAGGTAAAAGAGAAAAGCCGAGAGGTCAGAGCTCAGAGATAAAATCTTACCTCCTGCAGTGCTCCTAGCTTCCCCGAGAGAGGGAGGTACTTCCTGTGTC